GAGACTGAGGTAGATGGTGTGGAGATTTACACTGATTTGAACTGAAATTAAAATATTTCTGGTGTATAAAAGTAAGGATCATCTATCTTAAAATAAAGGGTTTCTTTATTTACATTTCTGTGTATTTGTTGTTTCAATGATGTTTTCGGTAACCTTAATTTATACTTCTCAGAAAGGATTTAGAACAAAGAGCAGGTTTTCATAAATGGTAACTTTAAATATTGATAATAACATGAAGCATAAACCACAAAATAGTAGCCCATATTTGAAAGATGAAAGAAAAAGGGGGAAAGAACGCATTTGATCTCTTTAATGCATTGTTGTTGGTGAGGTTTTACATTTTTTGCTGGACTTATTGTTGTCCTTTTTTTAGTCAAAAATTTGTAAGCTTTGATATCTGATTCCTAGAAACCCATCCTTTTGAGCTGGAGAGAAAGCAGATAGAGGAGATTCAGGAACATGCAATTTGCTTTGTCCAGATTGTGGGTTAAGCAGTGGTTAAAAGTAAATCTTCATATTAAAAATTATTTTGTCTAAAATGTTTATTCCTCTAATAATTACAGGCTAATTCCTTGAAGTTTTAGGTGAAAAGGTACCTTAAATAATATTACTCTTTTTCCATAGTTGATTCCTAGGTTTGCATTCTTTGCCATAAATTAATCTGATATAATTGCACATCCTCTTCACTAAATGCAGTAAAGTCAAGAGTTATTGGCTGGGTATTCTTTCTGTTTACCACAGGCAATTAAAGCTACAAATAAAGGATATCAAGTAAGAGCCTAAATTAAATAGAAKGAATCAAAGTGGACAAAACACACAAGCTTTCCTGGGCACTTTGAGCACTTATCAATATCAACAGTCCTGATACAATCAAAAATGGACTTGAAGAGATCGCAGAGTAATGAAAGTACCAGGGCAGAAAGAGCAGTGAGATGAAAGGACTGTTGGTAGCCCTGACAAAACCTGCACCATGTTTCAGATTTCATAAAAAGTATTTTAATTAGCATTATTAGAAAACGTATAAGTTCCTTTAACTGGCAAATGGAAGCCATGATAATATTGATGCAATGGTATAAGGGAGCACTTAGGACAGAAGAGGTGYTTTTTGCATCATTTCATGACACTGATGTCACTGTCCTTCAGAACAAAGACAAGAGGTTCCTGAAAAAAGATCAGGCCCTTCCCTCTCACCAAAATAACTGCTGACTAAAAAGGAGAAACAAAACAGTACAGTACTCTCATGCTCTGGAGCAACTTACATTCTCTACCTCTTTCCTTAGGTCCTGCAGACCCATGGGATGAAAACTGATATTTGATATAAACCTCAAGGACCATTGTAAATATCTAGTTGCATTTACTTATAAAAAAAAAAAAAAAATCTAAGCTTTGTGATTTTAAGCAATAAAACCCCTGAAAAGCTCCCGATTCATTGCTAATCATAACAAACAACCCATAATATGGACATTACAAAGAATATTGCACTCTTGAAGCCCTCATGAAAGATCCAGGGTGTGATCCATACTCTGAGGGCATGAGAACAGTTCTGCTCTGCGATAAACTCCTGCTTCTCGTCTTCAGGACTTTGGAGGTTTTAGAATCAGAACATGAGTAACTGTGTACGCAAAACTGACTTGTACATAAACTCATCCAATTGTTAATTTAGTTTTTGGGAGAATTTGTTAATTCTAAAAATTACATCTGGTAAATAGGTATTTAAGCTAACAAACTACCAATTTTTTTTTTCTGTCTTGCTTTTCCTAGCTGTGGTTAAAATATTTATATGCTCTTTCTAAATTACCTCAAGGTGTACTTCACTAAATAAATTAAAAAAAAATCCAGTACCGTGTAGATATAATTTTTTGTTCAATTATAAAAATGGATAAAGTACAGCTATGAAACAGCAAAACATTGAGCAAATTCCTTTGAAAAGACATAATATGGTATACCAAGTTGTTAAGCCAAGCAATCATCTCTGAAAATGGCACTCAAGATTTTAATTTTTTTTTTATCTTTTATGTTTTTGTTATTTCTGTTTTTTTGTTTATTTGTTTGTTTCAATTGATCTTTTGATTATATTCGCCAAACTCTTATCCCTTAGGGGAATTCCAATGAAAAAGACATGAGCCTTGTAATTTGTACTTTTGCATTAGGCTTGTCTTTCTCAAAGAGAAAAAAGAAAAACAAAATATCTCTTCTACCAGCCAGTAATTCTTTCTGTTTTCCTTCCTTACCCATAGAGAATGACAAAGAAAATACTGCCTAGGGCTCAAATGGATTTTATAACCTTCAGCTTATAGATTCCAAACAATAAGTATGAACAACACACTATATTTTTTTCCACAAATCTGGCAAAGTTTTTGATCTGCTTCTGCTTTATCAGACTATGGCTGGCATATATTTAGTAAGGTCGGGTGGACAGCTGACAAACCTGTACTGAAGTTAGGAATAATATGTGCTTTGGAAGATGCAAATGACCACAGGAAACCTTGCATAAAACTCATGTGACATAACAGTTAACACTGCCTTTCAAGGATGACAATGTGAAATTGGACAAGTTMCTTTGCCTTTCATTACTCCTTAGTACAAAGTGCAAACAGGGCCAGAGTGAAAGTGGGTCACTGTGAACTTGTCCRTACATAGTAAATATTCTGTCACTTTTGTTGATTAAAGCCCAAACATTCAAGTGTTAAGAAAATAGCTGCCCCTTGTATAATGCTGTTGCCAAAAGGCCAGAAATGTGAAGACTGTGTAGGAGGTTGTCACTGCTGTGATGACTGCAGGCAGAATACGAATTGAGACATAAAAACAGAGTGGTTAGTCAGATTGTTTTGCATTCAGCTTGAATTGAAGGCAACTCCTTGTGATCCACAATAATTCGACATTAAGAAATTAAAAAAAAAAAAATAAAAAGGAGATCATTCATTCTTTAATCAAAACTACTAGATTTCTGTACATTATCTCTTTGCTGTTTGTGGATTAAAGGAGTACTATAGGCTTTGTTTTGCACTATGCTGTACATAGGATGAACTTTCAGAATCAGTCGTGAAATTAAAAGTGAGACTTAAAATTTCTTAAGTGAGACTTAAGAAAGTGAATGATATGGAAAGCATAAAGCTGCTCTCTACTTCTGGGTTTTTTTGGGAGGGGTGGATTTTAGCCACAATGTCTTCCTACACAGACACCATTTCTTTCTGTGCTGTAGGGATTCTTTGAAGGGAAACTGTCAGTATATTAGGAAAATTGGGCTAATAGGGTGTCCTTGGTGTACCTAAGTGAACATTTTAATGCACTGTACTGATTCTATAAGTCATTATCTCCTTTTTAATGAGCTCCTTCCCAAAAATGCAACTGAAAAGATTTAGCGATACCATTCTTAGATGGTATTATCTCCTGCTGAATAGTGCAGAATAGCAACATTTACTTTTATGTTTATTGAATAAGTGCTACTCAGGTTGTAATTATTCCTGAGAAGACAAAAAAGAGCAAACTACTCCATAAAAGATTTGTCTGTCAGAAAGTGGGCAGAGGAATTCTGGCTAAATGAACAAAGATGGAAAGGGCAGGATGGGGGCAAATGAGGTGGGGAGAAAAAAACCACCCTCATATCCCTAGACTAATATAGTACCTTAAAAGGTACTACTGTTTAGAAGGCTCCWTTAATTCCTTTGAGAGAGGASATAGAAGGGAGAAATKAAGTGGTTTTGTATTTAWTTTTTTTGTTATGTCAATCKTGGCTTGAAATATTTACTCTGTAATCTTCATGCTATAATCCYAAAATTGGCGTGCAGCACAGTGAGGAGCCAAGTTATTAATAAGTTTCACTGTTAGTAACTTCTCCTGTATCAATGGGCATTTTCAAATTTGTTCCCAAGAAATCTGTGAGAGACGTACAGCAGGCAAGTATTACTCTTTGGGTCAGAGTATGCTAAACTCCAAAGGTCAGAGCACTTTCCAAGTGCAGAAGACCACCTCTGACACAAAGAAAGCCCACTGTCCTACCTGTGACAGCCATCTATTGCCAGGAGACACCTGGAAAGCTACGGAAAGAGAAAGTTTGTGGGGAAATATTCTCTTATGACTAGAGAACTTTCTCTTATGAAAGAGAAAGTTTATGGGGAAATAAATTTCAGTTTTAGAAAGAAAATMTATTTTTAATTTTTAAATATGCAACAAATTTAATAGAACATTTTGAGAATCGTTTTGATTGATGGAATGAGGTTAAGAGTGAAAACAGCAGGTGAATTTCAAAAGATGTTACGATATCTGAAAAAAAAAAAAAAACCTCAACAAAACAACCACCTTTCTGAAAAGAAAAAAAATACAAGGTGCAGGAAGTAAGTTATTTAAGATGATGAAAGACTGGTCTCAAGATTGAAGTCAGGTTAGTAACAAGTAGAACACTTCAACCTGGAGAGGGATAGTATGTGCAAGATGAATATGATCTCTATCAGATACAGTTTTATTCTCTTTATAGATAGCAGGCTTAAAGGCAAAAGGGTCAAATATCACTTTTGCTTCGTGAAGCAAGCTACGAGCAAAGGAATAGAAACATATTTAATGTAAGGAAGAAGAGGGAGAAAAGAAGAATGAAAGAGAACTGACAGAGGGCTTGCAGAGTTCAGCATGGAGACATAAATGGGAAAAAGACCTGAAAAAATGCTAGACCTGAGGGGACATGCCAGAGTCACAGCCCATTTGAACTGTGCTAGGTAGTAATAAASATATGGCTACCCAATATAGCAACAGGCCACAGAAACAGGTTAAAAAATTTGAACTGGCTGCATCTGAGCTATAAGGTAAATGTGCTCCCCTGGTCACGGCTGCCCAGCCTGCGGCAGAAGTGGAGAAGCTGTTGGCTCTGACATTGCCCTGACACCTACATTTCATTCCTAACGCTAATGGTGACGGTCATCAGCCCTTGGGTTTGTCCAGACATGCTACCAAGAACACACCCTGTGCTGGTAGATCACAAGATATCTTTAGACCCCACATGATCTGTGTCTGCCTCAGACCTGTGTGTTTCCCTCTTTTCAGGGTTACTGTAGAGAATCAGGAATGAGTCAGCACTGTCTGAAGGTCTAAAGMAGGACAAATAACCTGTTTCCCAAAATCAGTTAATTTGTTTTAGCTGGACTATTTCATGAGGATCAGCACAGCCTGACCCACAAGGTCAGGGTGGGTCGTGGTGGCCCAAAAGMATAGAGAGGTGTACWAGAAGGTCTGATCTGTTCCGGGAGRGTTGGATTCYAAACTGTATCCAAAAGTGCAAGGAGRTCCTGCCAGGGCTGGTTCACTCTCYCAGGTCGGGAAGGGCTGTCTCCAAGCAGAGTTTTAGTTATGGACTGTGCAGCTGCGGCTTCCCCTCCTGACATCCCGCCGTCTGCCCAGCAGATGTCCCTCGGCCACTGCGGGATGAGAGCACATGGAGGCAGAGGCTCTCTCCCTTCTCTTCGTTGATTGCTGTCAGTAAATAACAAGTTTGAACTGGTGGCTTAGAGCTGGACACAGTCAATACCTAATTTTCCCCAGCCCGTGAATGATGCATGCCGGGTCACTTGCAGTTCTTTCAGCTCTCTTTGAAGTGACAAAGAGATGTTATAAGAACTGGTGTTGAACAGTTTTCAAGCACAAAGAAATAAAAAAATGTTCAGGTGCTACAGCTGTGACCGTTGTTCTCCAGCTACTGGTACGTATGCTAAAATGAGCATAATTCCTATTGAAGTTTCACTACTTCACATGCTAACAGAATGCAACACTCGCGAAAGCAACAAGACTTCTCATTACGATATTCTGTGCTCATACCTCGAATCCCTGTGGTCTTCCTAGACTTTCTTTAATATGTTTCCACGCAACAAGAATCTCTGATACAGACAAACTCGTCGCTTTGACATCGACGGGAGCAGCAGTGGGTTCTGTATTAAGAAAAATTGAAACAATAAACCTCCACWGTAACAGCTTGTATTTATCAAAAACACTCCATCTGAAACTGTCATTTACTTCCTTTATTCTACCTTAACACTCACAAGAAGGTATGACACTTAGGGGGAACATGAAAAASTGAACAAGATGAAGAGATTATTACTGTTGTGTTTCTTTATTTGTGTCATGCTACATCAATATCTCATCACTGATGATGGGTGCAGCAAACTGTGAAAGAATCTCTTGTCTATGGTTTTTTAAAAAAGCTTTAATATTTGTATATGTGTCCCCTGCCTCCACACACCCCTTTCACAGCCCTAACTGCAGCAGTAAATGGAGCATTCATTCTATTTGTGGCTTCTTAGTGCCATTCTGTCAGCTCAGGATGAGCAATGCTTTGCTGGGRTGCTCAGTCAGACCTGCCCTGGGGCAATACAGAGTAAGAAGTGATACCCAGCACTGTAGTGAAAAGCTATGTAAAAGATTTTTTTTTTTTTAAGGACTTTATTATTATGTCCTTGAAGTCACAGGCACCAGTGTTTGGGATGTACCACCTTCTCTGTGCTGTGAGGGGTTTACTGCTTTAGTTCTGGGGTGCAGATTTTAATGAAGGCACCAAGTCCCTCTGATTATCTGTGTTGTTACCATCAGCCCTATGTCCATGTTTCCATCTTCATGCTATTCATAAGACACTGCAGTCTGGGCCCCCTGATTCTCTGGAGCAGAGGACCCTTCCTGTGCTCCAGCCAGGCTAATGGTGGTGTGCTTTGGTGATGCTGGGGAACAGTCAGGGGCTCAGTGGAGGCAGAGGGCTGGAGGATGCTTTATACACCACACCAGTCCAGCTTCCACAAGTGCCTGGGAAGYTGGGTAAAGGTCCCTAGAGGTTTTCCATGACAGGCTATTGAGCACCCCACTATTCMCTTGTATCACCTGTTACAGTACACTGGGAGTGACAAGTGTCCAAAAATYATCTCATATGAACCTGGGACATGAATTAAGAAAATCTTGCACGTCTTTTGCCTTATTACCTAAATGYGACTGAAAATTTTCTTAAGCTGTGGAGGCAAGGCTTGAACATATACTGTGGAGCACACAATAGGGCATTCCTCCACCTTTCTGGTGTAGTTCACTAGCTCAGCAAAAAGGTGAATCCACATTCCCCTGTAGTCACAGAGCCTGCGATTTCTTCCTTTGCCTAACGTTACTCATTACATTATAATGTGTTGATCTGTTCCTGAAGGGCAGGAAGAGGTCTTGGCTTTTATGTTATAGG